TTATAAATAAAATTCAGTGATAGTCTAATTTAATTCTTGAATATTGACGTTTAAAAATATTAGCTCTTTAATTTTAATTAGTTTTAATTATTTCAAACTGTTTTAATATAATTCGAATTATTTTGAATTATTTTGCTCGTATAGTTCATAGTAATTTATCTAAATTTGTTAATCTGTTTTATTTTTGAATATTGTCGTTTAAAAATTTTAGCTCTTTAATTTTAAATATTTTTAATTTTTTCAAACATTTTTAAAATAATTCGAATTATTTCGAATTATTTTGCTTGTATAGTTCATAGTAATTTATCTAAATCTGTTTCATTTTTGAATATTGTTGTTTAAAAATTTTAGCTCTTTAATTTTAAATATTTTTATTTTTTTCAAACATTTTTAATATAATTCGAATTATTTTGATTTATTTTGCTCTTATAGTTCATAGTAATTTATCTAAATCTGTTTTATTTTTGAATATTGTCATTTAAAATTTTAGCTTTTTAATTTCAATTATTTTTAATTATTTCAAACATTTTTAATATAATTTGAAATATTCAAATTATTTTTCGCTTATAGTTGATATTAATTTATTTTAATCTGTTTCGAATTATTTCGAATTATATTGTGTAAATTTGCGTAATTTCTTGCATAATATTGTGTAATTATCTTATGTAATACTTCATAATTATATATTTTGCAATATTGCGAAAGTTATTACATAATATTATGGCTTTCTTACGCTTCGTAAATTATTGTGCAATATTACGCCCTATTAAATTTGCTGGTGTAGTATTGGTTCTACTTTATGTTGCTGCACTACTCGCAATACTTTATTCTTGGTTTGTTTTCTCCGATCTCTCTTGTAAAGTAGGTGATTTTGTAGAATATAAAATCTACTTTGGGCTTCTAACTATTTTTTTTCTTGGTTATTAAGTCGAGGTAGGTATTTTGCTGTTTCTAAAAATTGGTTTATTTGTTGGTATTTAGTTGATTCTATTTTTTTTTTTTTTTTTTTTTATAATGTTAATTGTCTGTTTTGTATGTTTTTCTTCCAGCTTGTAATGTTCTAGAAGTTGTGATGATGGTAGCAGGAACTGACCTGCAAAGTTTTTTGTCTTTTGTGGACAGATAGTTGAAGTTTTAATTTGTACCTTTAAAGGTAACTAACTAGATTGGTGGTTTTCCACCAAATCGAGTTGCATAGATAAGTATTAGAGAAGTTGTTAAATTCTCTATAGTAGTGTTCCAAGGGTTTCTCTAACAACTCTAACCACCAAGGTAAATCGACTAAGTCCTCTGTTGGAAACAGTATTGTATTTCCTTCGTTTTCATCAGTAAAATTTAGCAGGAGATTTTCGCTAACACTGTCACTCTCCCATCTCTCAATAGGAGTGTCATCTATAAGGTTGAAAGTGTTCCAGGTAAAGTTACTTATGGATTCTTTATTACTCCACGTGTAGTCGTTTTCGTAGTAATAATTCTTCAATTATTCATCATCCGAAGTCGCTTAGTAGCATTTGGCGATTTTATCAGTAGGGTATTTCTTTATAGTGATCCATAGTTTCAAGTCACTATAGTACTTGCTACACTCATCTGATGGTAAGTATAACTTGTCACCACACTAACATTGGGCTATTGGTCCTTTTCAATCTCGGGTTAAATGTTTCTCTTTTGTTTTTTGGTTTAATCAATCACTAATGTATTCGATATAATACCAGGTATAGTACTGTTGATCATACCTAATTCTCTCAGTAGTAAATTCTACATCATCATATAGACAGAGATACTCAACCAATCCTTTGGGTAGATCATATTTTAATGTCTTTCTAATTTCACTTTGAATCTCCCTATAAGGTCTGTTACTAATTTGCCTTATTAATTTCTGTAGTTTTGATTCTTTTTTTGGAACTTCCTTTTATCATCACTAGGTATGAAGTGGTTACCCACAAATTTTACTATAATTTTGCTCTTTACAAAGTCATTGTCTTGGGTGTCTAACATATACACTTCTTGTTTTTCTTCCTTTCCCTGAGTGTACATTCTTAACAGGGCATCAGCATTACTATGCTTTCAGCCAGGGTGATGTTTAACTTTAAAATTGTATTGTTCCAGGCACATTATCCATCAAGCTCGCTTTCCCTTTAGCTCTGAAGTTCTTAATCACTGAAGAGCCAGTAGTCTGTTATTAGGTAAAATAGCTTCACTCCCAAATATTGATGAAAGTGCTCAACTGCCCAAATTATAGCTAAGCACTCTAACTCGGGAATGGAATAATTCTTTTCTGTTTTACTTATGCTCCTGCTAGCATAAGCAATGACGTATTCTCTATTATTTTCGTCTAATTGTGCTAAAACACCACCCAACCTGAAGATAGACATATTTGTATGTAAGTAAAAAGGTTTACTATAATCTGGGTACCTTAATATTGGGGCTGTAACTAGACATTTCTTTAAAGTTTGAAAAGCCTCTTTTTGACTCTTTGTCCATATAGGGTTCATCCCTGTTTAGCAATTTATTTAAGGGTTTGGCTATTTTTAAAAATCTCTTAATGAATTTTCTATAATACGATGCAAGGCCTAAAAATGATTGTATTTGTCTTATATTAATAGGTGTGAGAAATTCTTTTATCTTATTCAGTTTTTCCTTGTCTAGATAAATCCCTTGGTTACTAACTATGTGCCCTAAAAATTTAATTTTGTTTAGGAAAAACAAGTATTTTTCCAAGTTACATTTTAGATTGGCCTCTCTAATCTTTGTGAAGACCTGCTACAAGTGTTCCACATGCTCTTGGAACGTTTTGGAGTAAATGACAATGTCATCTAGGTGAACGATAACGAATTTGTTGATGAAAGAGTCGAGAATATTGTTCATTAACTTTTAGAACATAGAGGCATGTTATATAAGCCAAATAGCATTACGTTAAATGCGTAAGTGCCAAATTTGGATAATAAACGCTGTTTTCTTTTTGTCTTCTTCTCTAACGGCTACCTGCCAGTATCTACTAGCCAAGTCCAAGCTGGTAATTGGCACCTTCGAATTCCGATAGGACTTCGTTTATTTTTGGTAAGGGATATATGTCTTTTTCTGTAACTATATTTAACTTACGGTAATTAATACGGATTCTCTTTTTTTCATTTCTCTTCGCACCAGGACCACCAGGGAAGTCCAGGGGCTCTTAATTGGGAATATAATCCCTTGTTTTTCCATAGCCAGAATTTCATCTTTGAGAAATTCTTGTTTGTCACATGCCACTGTATATAAGTGTTGCTTTATTGGTTTTGCCTTACCGGTTTCTATTTTATGGCATACTAAGTTGGTTTGTCCTAAACCAACTGTTTGCCCGTTCTTTTCTTTGCAAAAACTTTCGCATTCTTTATCAGCAAGTCTTCAGCTTGCTGCAGTTGTCTCTGATTGAGGTTTGGGTTTATCTCAAATGCCCTTGTATTCTTTTCTTGTAGTTTTGTTTCTGTTTCTGTTAAGTATACTGCTGGGTTATTCTCTGTTCATGGGTTATAATATAGGTCTTCTTTTTCTTCAGAGGATAGGTCACTGAAAAAGACTTGATGAACATCTTCGTCTTGTTTTAGTTTATCTATCCAGTCTTCTTCGTCGGTAAATTCTTTCAGCTCTTGCTGATAGCCGTCACCACTTATATGAGTCGTATTTACTGTGACTTGTTTGCCTAAATATTTGACAATTAGAGTGTTATTGTCAAAATTGAGCTTAGCATGTGGCTTATCAAACCAGTTTGTGCTTAATAATAAGGTCTCCTCCTGTGAGTCTATAACCTAGAGGTCTATCGGTATAATAAGGTCCTGTAGGACTATTTTCACTTCACTAATTATTCCTAGGGCCTTGGTTCTATTACTATTGGCTGTTATAACAATGGTTTTTGATGCTTTGTCTATATATAGCCCCAGTTTGTTCATAAGTTTTCTGATAATAATACTTATAGCAGCACCAGAATCTAGTATTGCTACCACCGAGTTCTTTTTAATATGCACATAACACCGCATAGCAATAGTCTTGTGTTTCTCTTTTGCTTTCACTAGGTTGGCTTCCTTGTTTGAGGCCTTTTTCCATCTAAGTATCATTGCCAGGTTTCGTCTTTGGCTAGGATATTGCAATAGTTGTTCTAATATTGCCCTAGTAGGCATAGATATCAAGTCTTCGGCAATATTATAAGGCTTGAGCCTGTCTATTTCAGAAGGTAATCATTTCTTTATGACCTTTTTTTCTGGAGTGTTTTCAAACTCCATAGAGTCTTCTATATTTTGCACCAGATCTGTAGATGCTTTGATTAATAGGTTTTGTTTCTTTTGGATCTTTATTTGTTTTTGTTTTTGGTTTTGGTTTTTCTGTTAGTACTATATGGCTAAGGCCAATTTATGTAGACTTCTTCTACATTCTCTTCTTCTGCTAAGTCTATTAGGTTAATATTTTTATTATTATTATCATTATTAAACTTCTTTAGTATTTGGTCAGCCATTTCCTTTGGCTTCTCCAACATTTACTTGTTTGTGAAGTGTTTAACTTCACCGCACCTAAAGCAAGTAACATTCTTCTTCTTTTCTTAAGAAGATGAAGATAACTTAAATGTACCCTTTTTTTCAACTTGAGCTAGTAGGGCTGAAGCGATGATAGCATAGTTTAAACTCATTTGTTCCATCTGCTTTGTCAATTGTTCTATTTGTTTTTTATAGATTTTAGATCCAGAAGGTTGACTTGGATTCACATTATAGGCAAAATCAGTTCCGTGTTTGTGGTGTCTGGCTAACTCTAGGGTTGCTTCTACTATAGGGGGCTTATGCATTAATACTATGGGCAACATATCTGACCTTAGACCCTTTTTAAAGTAGTAGAATTGATCATCAGCCAACAAGGCCATATCAATTCCTACTCTGTCTACTATTTTCCTAAAATGGCCATAGTAGGCATCTACTGATTCTTCTGGCTATTGCTTCAAGGCATTAATTTCTTGTTTTCGACCATTTTTTCAACATTGGTTGTAGAAATATTTTTTGAATGCTTTCTTTGTAGCATTCCAATCCACTGTCAGGTCATTGGTCGGCTTGTTGTCATTATAATATATTATTTGCCAATCATCTGCAGTATCTTTTATAAAGACTGACAAGATCTGTCTCATTCTTTTTTTGCTCTAATTGTTGGTTGTGGCCACTTTTTCAAAATTTTTCAACTAGGTTAGAGGGTCTTGGGAGCCATCTTCCTTAAAAAAATTTACTCTAATCAGAATACTTTCCTTTTGATTGTCTTTTAAGTAATTGAGTATGCCTTTGGCCAAAGGAGTGGACATACTAACTGTATTAGGGCTTGTAGTAATAAGGGCAAATGGGTTTGTTTTAAAACACTAGGTATAGACAGCTATGTTGATAATTACTATAAGTATTTCAATGAATTTTCCTGGTATTTGTGTATAAGTGATGCTAAAGATTAGTTTTGAAACTATATTTCTGCAATGTACAGACTGTGGCTGCTGGTATGCGGTCTCTAGATTTTTAAAATAACTATACGTTTTTGATGTATAGAGTTTTGCGAAATATGTGGGGGTATACCAATTTGCAAATTGGTAAAAGGTTTGGGATATCTTTTTGGGAAGGGGGTAACAATGTTTACAGGAGTCTACTTTGTTATGTAAATTTAAGGTTAAATGATCGATCGGTCCTGTGTTCTTGGTTAGACTAAAATTCATGTACTAAATCTGTGCAGTTCTTTTAATAATTCTTCTGTAGAAAATTCAATCCCACAATTTCGATGACTAGAGAATTTTATCTCATAGTTACTACCAAAAATGTCACACCCAAACTAACCTCTTCTAGTAGTTCAAGAGATGGTGACATTGTGTTATGCAAAATTACAACTAGGGCGATATGGAAAGTAAATGGTAAAGTCTTTACTAGGACTTTAAGAAAGAGGATTTATATAAGGCTTGATCGAAAGAGGCACAACTACTAATATATATGAGAATATATTAGGTTGTATTGTATGTTTTACTAACAATTCAGTTAATAATGGACATCAAGTTACGTGGTCACGTGATAATATTCAAAAGTATTTTATTAATAGAAAATGAAATTTAACATGTATGAAGATACAGTTATTTTATCTAACTGATAAAGTAACTAGATAATACAAAAGAGATAAGAAAATACTATTCTAAAGATGAGAATTCTATACTAATTGAGTTCTAAGCTAAAGTAAGGTGAAAGTAAAGACTTTAAATACATGTTTTTGCGGGAAGTATCTTCCTTAAATCTATTATTCCATTGGTTCCTTCTAATTTTACACTAATACATCTTCTAATTTACTTTGCTTCCCAAGCGAACCTTTTAATTAGTTTCGCTATTATTTACAAGATGTGATATATTCTGCGCCCTGGCCTTTTACATTGTTGCACAGATCATGCACATTTATGGCATGCATAACTGCGGCATCCGGGAACTAAAAGGGGATCTGACTTTCTAATATGACACCGTAATTATTTAATTGTTTAATAAATTACCAAGATGAGTATAAAGTTTAATTCTGTTCACTTTAATGTTTGTGTTCAAGAGAATGTATATCAACTGTGATCATTTAATTGTTCTATAAATTATTAGAATAAGTATGAAGTTTAATTCTGGTCACTTTAATAATTGTGTTTTAAGAGAATGTGTAGTTATATAATTGTTTAATTTTATTTATTTTAACAACCGTGTTTCAAGAGAATCTGTAATTAACTATAATTATTTAATTGTTCAATAAATTAACCATAGTCATTTAATCACTAATGTAAGTAAAATTTAATTTTATTTACTTTAACGATTTTTTTTAAGACAATATATACAATTAACCAAAATGATTAACCTTAGAACATAATGCAATAGTTAGATTTGAAACAAGCACAATAGTTAGTTTTGGGTTATAGTGTATTATAAATAGGGTTGGGGTTTAAGACTAGAATTAAAAATAGGTTAGGTAATTAAAAGTAGGATTTTGTTAGA